ATGTTTAATTACTCAATTAAACATAATGCTAAATTACCAAATTATTTCGAACGTAACGGTACGTCGAAAATATTTTCCGGTAATTTCGACTGATATAACTGAAAATAATTAATTCCGAAAAATAATATCGGAACTAAAATATTATTAATACTGATAAAAGTCGGGATATTACAATAAGCTTCTTAAATATCCGGTTGCAAAAATGAGAACCTCCATCACTAATGATAGCTCGAGGGAAACCGAAACGGTTGATGATTTGATCTTGCACGAACTTCACCACCACTTTGGCATCACAAGTTCTAGCCGGGATGGCTTCAATCCACTTCGAGACATACTCCACACCAACCAAAATATATTCAAACCCATGGGAGCTCGGGAAGGGTCCCATAAAGTCTATCCCCCAAACGTCAAAGATTTCAACCGGAAGAAAAGTATTAAGGGGCATCTCATTTCTCCTCCCGATATTCCCGAGCGTTGACATCGATCACAAGAAGTTGAGAAGGCGTGGGCGTCCTTGAAGATCGTTGGCCAATAAAATCCACTTTGAAGTACCTTGAATGCCATTTTCCGGCCTTCGAAATGGCCACCACAATTAGACGAGTGGCAAGCGGTCAAGATATCGTGTTGTTCCTTCTCGGGCACACACCGCCTAATGACCTCGTCCTTCCCGAGATGAAAAAGATACGGGTCCTCCCAAAGAAAGTACCTACACTTCGAAATAAATCTCTTCCTTTCTTGGAAGGATAAGTCATCATTCAAGACACCACTAGCCAAGTAATTAGCAATATCGGCATACCAAGGCACACGATCAACAAGAAAAGCATGCTCGTAAGGAAATGAATCATCAAGATTGGGCAAATCACAAGAACTCGAAAGCAATGTAAGGCGTGATAAATGATCGGCAACAACGTTTTCACTACCTTTTCTATCCATTATCTCAACATTAAATTCTTGCAAAAGTAGCACCCAACGAATTAGCCTAGGTTTTGATTGAGCTTTAGCTAACAAATGCCTCAATGCCGCATGATCACTATAAACAGTTATCTTATAACCAACAGCATATGCACGAAACTTTTCTAATGCAAAGACAATAGCTAAAAACTCTTTTTCAGTAGTAGTGTAATTAACTTGAGCATCATTGAGAGTCATGCTAGCATAGGCGATCACGTGATGTCGTTTTTCTACCTTTTGCCCCAAAACGGCTTCCACCGCAAAGTTAGAAGCATCACACATAATTTCAAAAGGAAGGGACCAATTCGGGGGCATCACAATTGGTGCCGTGATCAATCTACGTTTTAGTTCATTGAAAGCATTCATGCACTCATTATTGAAATCAAAAGGCACGTCAAGAGCAAGCAAGGCACACAATAGTCGAGCTATTTTCGAAAAATCCTTGATAAACCTCCGCTAAAAACCGGCGTGCCCAAGAAAACTATGAATTTCTTTAACATTCAAAGGGGGTAGAAGCTGCTCAATCACATAAACTTTAGCTTTATCGACTTCAATTCCTTTATATGAAATGACATGACCAAGCACATTACCACTAGGAACCATAAAATGCGATTTTTCCCAACTAAGGGTCAAGTTATTCTCAATGCATCGATTCAACACTTTGCTCAATTTATCAAGACAATCATGAAATGAATCACCAAACACGGAAAAATCATCCATAAATATTTCAATAAATTCACCTATCATATCCGAGAAGATAGAAAACATGCACCTTTGAAAAGTGGCGGGAGCGTTACAAAGTCCAAAGGGCATCCTCCGGAAGGCAAAAGTGCCAAAAGGGCATGTGAAGGTGGTCTTCGGTTGATCCTCCCGGGCAATCGGGATTTGGTAGTATCCCGACAATCCGTCTAGGAAGCAATAGTAGGGGTGGTCGGCTAGCTTGTCGAGAAGTTGATCAATAAACGGCAAGGGGAAGTGGTCCTTCCTTGTGGCGGCATTGAGCTTCCGGAAATCGATGCACATGCGCCATCCCGTAGTGGCTCTCGTTGGTACAAGCTCGCCTTTGTTGTTCTCTACAACCGTGATTCCACTCTTCTTCGGGACCACGTGTACGGGGTTCACCCACTCACTAACCGCCACGGCATAGATAATCCCCTCTTGTAGCAATTTAAGAATCTCCCCTTTAACCACCTCCATCAACGTGGGATTCAATCGCCTTTGACCCTCCCGGATAGGCTTTGACTCGTCCTCAAGAATAATCCGATGCATACATGTGGCCGGGCTTATCCCCTTAATATCACTCAAACTCCACCCAAGAGCATCTTTGTTCGCCACGAGGACATCCACAAGTAATTTCTCCTCTTCTATCGAAAGTCCCGAGTATATGATGGCGGGCTTTTTCTCATTTTCTTCGAGAAAGACGTACTTGAGGTGTGGTGGTAACGGTTTAAGCTCGGTCAAAATTTCCCGGGGTTCGGGTTCTTTGGATATCTTAATAAGATCTACCACACCTTCTTCTTCGGAATCAAGCTTCTCCGGCTCTTCGTCGGGAACCCCACACTCACAAGAGACATCGGCATAGAAAAGGTTGTGGACTTCCGCTTCGATCACATCAACATATGAGCAACTCTCGGTGA